AAATACTCACAGTGCAAATTTTCTCATTGTTGCGGGTGACTAGAGACTTAGGGTTATGGTGGACCCTTTTAAATCACCTCGCGGTGGTTCAGTGGATTTATATGAGGATATGTACAGAGAGAGAGTAGAACGCCTTTATTGTATGGCTGCAAGAGAAGGTATATATGATTGTAGTATCTGTTCAAGGCTTATACAGTATGGGCACGCCCCCGCCAGACGTGAGGTCGTGAGGGAGTCATCGCCAGCGATGCGCAGGCGATGACAGTAACTGTGATTCTGGGATGGGGTCGTAGTAGCGAACTTTGAGGGGTCACGTAGTAGTAAAGAGGAGAAGGAGTCTTTTTTGAAGTATTTTTTTACATTTCAAACGAAAAATGTATGGAATGGGAGTATTTGCCGTTCCCCAGCGCTCGACGGCAGTAGGGAGGAACTTAAGGTGCAGCTGGAGTGCGTCACCCGGTCCCAGACTGAAATACTGCAGAAACTACTACAGTGGTGAGTGTGCTGGTAGTTTCCTATCAGGACCCACTTCAAAGCTGGTGGTGCGGGGACGTGAAAATTTCAAAAACAGCGTAACAGACGGTTGATCCAGCCTCGCAAACCCTTCCCGTGCTGTGAGCCTAGGCAGAACCTTTCATTCCATGGCTTGCATCGGGTGCTTTTTATAGAAATGGACTTCCGGTTAACAGCGCAAAAATTCGCTTCAATGCACTAGACTTAAGAGCTGTTTCTAACCTATCAAGGGGTGTGCAGGTGTGCAACAGCGAGCTCCTCTGTATGGAGACAGAGCACAGCAAAATCGCGATTTTGCCTATGAGAAATAAAATAATGGAATAAGGCCTATGAGGGTAAATCAGGGACCTCATCACGGATATGACGCTCGCTTTTGGCGTTGGCGCTATTTGGGGGCAGTTTGGCGCTGCTCCCAAACAGCGCAACGCTGCCCCCAAACAGCGCAACGCCAAAAGAATTTATCCCACCAGTTTGCAGGAGTTAGTGATTGCGAATATAACGTCAGTTTTTACGCTGGAACTATTTAGCGCCGATTTGGCAGTGGTAATTGAAAATGCAAAAACTCGTAGTAGAGCGGAGTCGAACCCCAAAGCCGTGCCAAATCAAGTCCACCGCGCTATAATACTTGACCATGAGATTTGGGGTTGTAATGGTTGAACAGTGTCCACTTATGTAATGGTGCGGTCTATGGAATGAATACAAAGATTTTTGAATAAGTCGCGCAAGCGCAAGAAAAAGATGACTTGGGTGGGACGCGTTACCGCGTCACAATGTCCCACGAGGTGCGCAAAGTGGGACGCGTTACCGCGTCACGCTGTCGTCAACGTGTTAATAGAACGTCGAAGCAATCATTAAAATAACGGCGAATTCATACTATTGTTTCAGATGGCGTTCGAATACCTTATTTGGGGTTTTTTTCCTATTCCTCGAGGTTATACAATTTACTCTCTGGTATTTTCCTAGCAGCGTGGTTGCTACTCCTGGGTCCTCAACATCTTGTACGGATTTCTACCCATGTTCGATTTCACTGGCTTGACTCCGTAAGTACGTCAAAGG